CTTCCAGCTCGCTTGCTCGCTTTCCTGCTGGTCTCTTCATTCCGGCTGTGCACATGCTCTCCTCTGCTCGCCTTCCCCGCTAGGCCTTGCTTGTTTGCTCCTCACGCACTCTCCTCTGCCTCTCCGCCTTGGGCTGCGCTGGCCCCTTCCCTTCCATCACGTCCTCCCTCCCCCGGGTCCTTGTGCCCCATTCACAGGCAAAGCCATCCGGAACCACGCTGCCCCTACTTCTTTCAAAAATGACTCGGGATTGCTGTTCATCAGATTGGATGCGGAGGTCGAACCTTGGACCTGCGCCCTCTGCGACTTCGTGTGCGGTCGAGCTCTCGACAGCGCTCTCGAACACATCACCTCGCCCCTCCACTCTGCCCGCGTGGCTGCATCTACCCTCTTGCCTGCGGTGAAGGACAAGTATGGGCCTTGGAAGGCCCTCACGCTGCTGGATTTGCCTCCCGTGGCAGATTTCCTGAAGAAACTCCAGGCTTAGAACTTTGGCTGAGGGCTGTGCCCTCATGTGTGCTCCCGGTTGTAGAATCTGCCTTTGGCTATTGGCTCCCGCAGCCCACGTGGTCTCTCTTTGAGATACTGCTTTCTTCTCTCGTTGCTCACCCCCCCTTGTTTCCTCTTCCACACATACAGCCAGGCATGCTATGCCCATACACACATACAGCCTGGCATGCTATGCCCATACATGCGTACAGCCAGGCACGTTATGCACATACACGCATACAACCAGGCATGCTATGCCCATACACACATACAGCCAAGCATGCTATGCCCATACATGCATACAGCCATGCATGCTATGCCCATACATGCATACAATACAACTAGGTATGCTATGGCCCATACACACATACAGCTAGGCATGCCATCCCCATACACACATACAGCCAGGCATACCATGCCCATACACACACACAGCCAGGCATGCTATGCCCATATACACATACAGTCAGGCATGCCATCCCCATACAAACACAGAGCCAGGCATGCTATGCCCATACACACATACAGCCTGGCATGCTATGCCCATACATGCATACAGCCAGGCACGTTATGCACATACACGCATACAACTAGGCATGCTATGCCCATACACACGTACAGTCAGGCATGCTATGCCCAAAACACACATACAGCCTGGCATGCTATGCCCATACATGCGTACATTCAGGCACGTTATGCACATACACGCATACAACTAGGCATTCTATGCCCATACATGCATACAGACATGCATGCTATGCCCATACATGCATACAACTAGGTATGCTATGCCCATACATACATACAGCCAGGCATGCTATGCCCATACACACAAACAGCTAGGCATGCCATCCCCATACACGCATACAGCCAGGCACGTTATGCACATACATGCATACAACTAGGCATGCTATGCCCATACACACATACAGCCCAGCATGCTATCCCCATACACACATACAGCTAGGCATGCCATCACCATACACACATACAGCCAGGCATACCATGCCCATACACACACACAGCCAGGCATGCTATGCCCATACACACATACAGCCAAGCATGCCATGCCCATACATGCATACAGCCAGGCACGTTATACACATACACGCATAAAACTAGGCATGCTATGCCCATACACACATACAGTCAGGCATGCTATGCCCTTACATGCATACAGCCATGCATGCTAAGACCATATATGCATATAATACAACTAGGTATGCTATGCCCATACACACACACAACCAGGCATGCTATGCCCATACACACATACAGCTAGGCATGCCATCCCCTACACACATACAGCCAGGCATACCATGCCCATACACACACACAGCCAGGCGTGCTATGCCCGTATACACATACATCCAGGCATGCTATGCCCATACACACATACAGCCTGGCATGCTTTGCCCATACATGCATACAGCCTGGCACGTTATGCACATACACGCATACAACTAGGCATGCTATGCCCATACACACGTACAGTCAGGCATGCTATGCCCAAAACACACATACAGCCTGGCATGCTATGCCCATACATGCGTACATTCAGGCACGTTATGCACATACACGCATACAACTAGGCATGCTATGCCCATACATGCATACAACTAGGTATGCTATGCCCATACATACAAACAGCTAGGCATGCCATCCCAATACACGCATACAGCCAGGCACGTTATGCACATACATGCATACAACTAGGCATGCTATGCCCATACACACATACAGCCTGGCATGCTATGCCCATACACACATACAGCCAGGCATACCATGCCCATACACACACACAGCCAGGCATGCTGTGCCCATACACACATACAGCCAAGCATGCCATGCCCATACATGCATACAGCCAGGCACGTTATGCACATACACGCATACAACTAGGCATGTTATGCCCATACACACATACAGTCAGGCATGCTATGCCCTTACATGCATACAGCCATGCATGCTATGCCCATACATGCATACAATACAACTAGGTATGCTATGCCCATACACACACACAGCCAGGCATGCTATGCCCATACACACATACAGCCAAGCATTCCATGCCCATACATGCATACAACCATGCATGCTATGCCCATACATGCATACAACTAGGTATGCTATGCCCATATACACATACAGTCAGGCATGCCATGCCCATACACACACACAGCCAGGCATGCCATGCCCATATACACATACAGTCAGGCATGCCATGCCCATACACACACACAGCCAGGCATGCCATGCCCATACACACGCACCAGTAAATGTTGAGAAGGTTGCGGCACATCACGTTGCCCACTACTGCTGGGTTGAATGCATTCACCTGAGGGGGTGAGCAGAGACACGGTAGGGACAGGCAGGGTAAGGAAAGGAGGAGGGTGTGGGGCGGAGAAAAGCCAAGCCACAGAATGTCGCACCGAGTCACACTGCTGGCTGCTGCGAGGTTGAAAGCATTGACCTGAGAGGGTGAGGTGAGGCGGTAGGGGCAGGATCGGGGAAGGAGGGAGGCGTGGGGCGGAGAGAGGAGATATGAGAGAGGAGAGAGAAGAGAGGAGATAGGAGAGAGGAGATAGGAGAGAGGAGATAGGAGAGAGAAGATAGGAGATAGGAGAGAGGAGAGAGGAGAGAGGATATAGGAGAAAGGAGAGAGGAGAGGGGAGAGAGGAGTGAGGAGAGAGGAGAGAGGAGATACGAGAGAGGAGATAGGAGAGAGGAGAGAGGAGAGAGGAGAGAGCGCACGGCACCAGCGCGCACGGCGCCGGCGAGCACGGCGGCAGCCCCGGCGTGCATGGTGGCAGCACGCATGGCGCCAGCGCGAAACGCGCCAGCGCGCAAAGCGCCAGCGCGAAACGCGCCAGCGCGCAAGGCGCAAGCGCGAGACGCGCCAGCGCACACGCCAGCGCGAAACGCGGCAGCGCGCAATGGCGCCAGCGCGAGACGCGCCAGCGCGCAAGGCGCCAGCGCGTGACGCGCCAGCGGGCAAGGCGCCAGTGAGAAACGCGCCAGCGCGCAAGTTGCCAGCGCAAAACGGGCCAGCGCGAAACGGGTTACGGGCTCCGCGCCAGGTGGCAGTTATGCATGATACTAAGGGAAAACAGTTAGTTTTGAGTTAGGACTAGGTATGAGCAAGGAAGTCAATGTGAGCAAGGACTAGGCGTGAGCAAGTACTAGGCGTGAGCAAGTACAAGGGGTAAGCAAGAACATCCCAAAATTCCAGGATCAGAAATACGGAGTAGGTATACAGTAGGTATGGCATAGGTACGTCTGCTACGGAGTAGCCTTGCTATACGAACAACTATACCTACAATATAGGAGAGATCCACATTTTTGTGATGAACTAGGTGTAAGCAACTAGGTGAGGACTGACCTGTACGAGCAAGAACTAGGGACGAACGAAAGAGCAAGAACTAGGTACAGCACAGTAAGAGGGAAGGACGAGCAGAAACAAGAAGCACCAACAAGCCCTACCAGGGGCGTATTCGCTTTGCCCCACAAAGCTAAACCAAATACAAGTCAGCACAGTTACTACACCCAAATATTCTATTAAATAGCACGTATTACAATCCGATTGTTGTTACACCACCTCAAGTTTGGTTCAGGTTTGTATTCTCGCACGGAGAGCGAGTCCCGTCGAACGTGAGAGACTGTATAGCGTTACAGTCACGAAGCAGATAAAACAATCGTTCCCGCCCGAAACAAAACCGCCGAACCTAAACGAATACTTCAGCAATACAACACTTCTTTTAGACGAAACCATAAAATATTGCAGTAGTTATTAATGTTACGTGTTTAAAATATACCCCCTTATAAAATAGTTTAATATTCTAGTATTTTACTCACAAAATTTCTATGCACAACCCAAATGAAAAGAAAAAGGTGCGGGGGAAATACTAACTTGAATTGTGAATGGGAAAAAATGTAGGCATACGCAACCCATCCGACGATTCACGTCGAGCCTTGTTTTCGTTAGGGCAAGTTGAAGGAAAACGAGACTCACATTGGTACACGCGATAAACCGCCGGAAAGTCAAAATTCGTAAGAGTAATTACCCTTTGAGCACACTTCGTTCTCCTTCACCTCGATTCTTGGCAGGGACACAAACCTGCCAAGTTTGTCGAGGCACAGAGTTGAGGTGTTTGAGACTCGTCAACCACTGCTACGGGTGGATTGGGTTACAGGTTCTCAAGATGCAGCATCTTAGAAAATGGGAGTTGCAACCTGCCGGTCGGGCTTTAAGCCATCATGGTGGATGACATTCTCAGCTAGCGGCAGGGGACAACCACCAAAGTCACAGTGGATGACGTGGCTGACCCAGTCTCCCATCCCCACATCTCCTCACCTTTCCCCACCTTTCCCCAACTCTCTTCACCTTTCCTCACCTCACCTTTCTCCACCTTTTCTCACCTTCCCTCGCCTTCTGCCATCTTTCTGGCACAGGCATTGCCTGGTGAAACCATGGGGGAAACGATGGCAGAAAGACGCAGCACGTGTGTAACTACCCTACCTGCACCAACTAGACAGAAGGTTGCTGGTGTCATTATGCGGTGTTGTGACGTGTCCGAACCGAATCGGTGTGTCCGTCAACCACCAAGAGTGTGCGTTCCGTCGCAATGCTGGACTGACTGGCACTCGAGCGGCACGTGCCAGCAGCTGGTGACAGCACGGCACGGCACAGCCCCAAGGCGCGTCTCGTCATGCCATGGCCCATGACGACGTCTGGATTCGCGTAGCGTCGTCATGGTTTCGCATAGCGTGTCACGGATGGGCCATCCGGGCCGTCCAGCGCATTCCGAAATCCACGGGTCAGCAGCATCCGAACGCCGCGACAGCCAGTGTAGGCAAACGGCATGTGCGACGGGGAATGATGATGCAAAGGAGTGCAGGAAGACACGATAGCCACGATGCGCTCATGTTAGGTTTCAAAAATCCACCCGCTCGTGATGTTACTCCCAAGGGTGTACACCATGTGCATATTATGATAGGCCTTCCGCAGTACTGAATCACGAGAGGAAGTGCAAATGACACGATAGCCACGATACGCGCAGGTTAGGTTTCAAGAACCCAGCTCCGTGGCGCCCCATCATCTTTCCAAACAACCACTGGTTTATTCCTCTTTTTTGGACACCCTTTCCGGCGAAAGCAGGGCGCTCCGCGAATCGTGATGATTCCGCGCGTGCTGCTCGTGGCGTTTAGCAGTTTCGGTTTGAGATGTCCGAGAGATAGCTAACACACGCTCTTTCCAGAAGCCGCCGTTTGTTTGCTACTAGCCTCCGGGCCGGCTACTAACACAAGAAACTAGCCACGGTTGGAATTGGGGCGCCAGCGCGGCTAGAATGACCCACACGGGAGGGTGGAACTTAGGGGCTCATGCTGACAAATTCCTTGGGTTCGACAGCTGGCTCACAGCTTGTAACCGTCAGTGACTGACAGCTGGCAGGGTTCCTTGGGACAGACAGCATGATCCGCCAATGAAAGAACGAGCGGTTGGGATGGGGGGCACCACCGCCAGTATGACCCACACTGGAGGTCGTTTTTGGGGGCTCGCACACACTGTGAGGGTGGCAACCTGTCCGGCTCATGCTGGCAGGTTCGTTGGGACGGACGGACAGCAAGATCCGCCCACGAAAGAGAACCGCGCGGCGCGACCCGACTGAATAGTTATATCCTGTAGTGGATCAGTCTGACGGAGCACTGTCATCCTGTAGTGGTTTACAGTCACAGGCGACAGCTACGGAACAGTTATGGGGTCAGGGGAACAGTCAACAACAGAATCAGTTTCGCACGGCACCACCATCATGTGAAGCAGTTGGTGCCGCTTTCGTGGAGATCGGTTAGAAGCAGTTGGGCTCTGCGGTGCTGGAAGCCAGGGAGGCTGTAAAGGCGCCGGGGGGGGGGCTCTCTCCCGCCCCCTCCCCACAGGTTTGTGTAGCGCCGATAGGAGCCTGCTTGCACGATGTTTCACGGGCCGAGGTGATTTTGAGTCGACTCAGAAGTAAAATTCTCACGGAGGGGAAGAGAGGAGCCAGCTTGAACCAAGTGGTGCAGGCCGTGGCGTATTGTGCCGCTTCCGCGGCAAAGGTGCGGCTGTTCCTGTAGTGCTCCGAAGCGGCATGTGCGGCATCATGTGTGGGTTGTTGCTGCCTACCTGTTAGCGCCCCTCTTCACCACAAGGTTGGATTAAACAGTGCTGAACGCTTTCCCAGGAGCGCAGGAGCCATAAATGGCAAATTTGCCTGAAAGAGTAAGAAGCCTCAAGTGGAATATGACTGGCCGCCTCTTTCTTGCTAGAATTGCACCTCAAGATATCGACTATTGGCCCTCTGACAAGTTGGTACTCTTCTTGATCTACTGGACGGCCCATGGTTTCTCCTGGTATTCCGGCGGACTAAGCACTAGCAGGCAGATCTTTTGCTCCCTGATCGTTCACCCTCGAGCTCCTCGCATCCCCCCTTCCCCCTGGCCATTCTCTCCGCCTCCGAACCTCCGCTTTCCACTTTTGAGACGTCTCAAACCTGTACCTCTGCACTCCTTGGCGTTCTAGCCAACGCTGCCTCAATTCCTCGCTTTAGTCGTCCCAACCAATCCCAACACTAGCCTCCCTCCGCCTCTAACTCGGATTGTCAAGTCCCTGCGTTGCGCCTTCCAAGCTCATGGCCACTTCCCAGCTGCGCCTCCAGCGGCAATCCGCTCCGCCCCTGCTTCGCCTCCTGCTTCCCTCCCCCCTGCTTCTGCTGCTGCTCTGCACTCTGCTCGTGCCTCCCCTCGGGGTGGGCGCTGGCCAGCTCTTGGACGCCTCATCAGGTGCGTGCGTCTCATGCACCCCTCCCCACTGCTTCTACTGCTCTGCTTCTATCTGCTCTGCACGTCCCTTTGTCTCATGCACCCCTCCCCACTGCTTCTACTGCTCCTATCTGCTCCTATAGCTGGTGTGGGCGTGACGTGGCCCACACCAGCGAGTGCTGCTGCTCTTCTCTTCTCCTCTCCCCCTTTCCCTCTCAACTCCCCCTGCCGTCTCCTCTCCCCTCCCTTGCCGTTGCCGCATTGGGTCTGCTGCTCTTTTTATCTCCTCCCCTTACCCTCTTCGTCCCTTGCCCTTTCCTCCCCTCCTGGCCCTTCTGCCTCCCCCCTTTCCCCCAGTGGATGTGCTGCTGGCGTTCAGATCTGCTCTCGGCGTGACCCACACAAACTGGCGCTCAGACCTCCACTCTTCTTATCTTTTCCCTCTACCGTCTTCGTCCCCTTGCCTCCCCCTTCTGACCCCCTTTTTGCCTCCCCCTTCTGACCCCCCCTTTTGCCTCCCCCTTCTGCCTCCCCCTTCTGCCTCCCCCTTCTGCCTCCCCCTTCTGCCTCCCCCTTCTGTCTCCCCCTTCTGTCTCCCCCTTTTGTCTCCCCTTCTGTCTCCCCCTTCTGCCTCCCCTTCTGTCTCCCCCTTCTGACTCCCCTTCTGACTCCCCCTTCTGACTCCCCTTTCTGTCTCCCCCTTCTGCCTCCCCCTTCTGCCTCCCCTTCTGTCTCCTCCTCAGTGGGTGCGCTGCAGGCTTTCAAGTCAGCCTTGGTGTGACCTATAGCGACTGGAACGCAGACCTTGACTGCTGCTTTGCCACGTCGGCCCCCACTGATGGGTGGACCAACGTGTTCTGCGACGGCGATGGCCAAGGTTACTGACATGTGAGTGAGTGAGGTGCCTCTGTGTGGTGCCTCTGTGTGGACCTCTGTGTGGACCTCTGTGTGGACCTCTGTTTGGACCTCCAGACAGAGTGAGCTCGCTCTGGGTGGACCTCTGTGCTGCGGCGATGGCGATGCCTCTGACACGCGCGCAGCACTGCGCACAGGTGGGGTGACATGCGCGCAGCACTGCGCACGCGTGGGTGGGTTGACCAATGTGCTCTGCAACGGCGATGATCCCATCTCCGGCGCAAGCTTGTGTTCTTTTGAATAAACCCCCCTCCAGCCTCCCCGTCCCCTCTCTCACCCTCTCACCCTCCCTCTCTCACTATCTCCCTTCCTCCCTCCCTCCCTGCCGCCCCACCTCTGCAACAGCGTTTGTTCATTCCGCCTCCCCCTCAGCGTCTGGCCCTCAGCGTCTGGCCCTCAGCGTCTGGCCCTCAGCGTCTGGCCCTCAGCGTCTGGCCCTCAGCGTCTGGCCCTCAGCGTCTGGCCCTCAGCGTCTGGCCCTCAGCGTCTGGCCCTCAGCGTCTGGCCCTCAGCGTCTGGCCCTCAGCGTCTGGCCCTCAGCGTCTGGCCCTCAGCGTCTGGCCCTCAGCGTCTGGCCCTCAGCGTCTGGCCCTCAGCGTCTGGCCCTCAGCGTCTGGCCCTCAGCGTCTGGCCCTCAGCGTCTGGCCCTCAGCGTCTGGCCCTCAGCGTCTGGCCCTCAGCGTCTGGCCCTCAGCGTCTGGCCCTCAGCGTCTGGCCCTCAGCGTCTGGCCCTCAGCGTCTGGCCCTCAGCGTCTGGCCCTCAGCGTCTGGCCCTCAGCGTCTGGCCCTCAGCGTCTGGCCCTCAGCGTCTGGCCCTCAGCGTCTGGCCCTCAGCGTCTGGCCCTCAGCGTCTGGCCCTCAGCGTCTGGCCCTCAGCGTCTGGCCCTCAGCGTCTGGCCCTCAGCGTCTGGCCCTCAGCGTCTGGCCCTCAGCGTCTGGCCCTCAGCGTCTGGCCCTCAGCGTCTGGCCCTCAGCGTCTGGCCCTCAGCGTCTGGCCCTCAGCGTCTGGCCCTCAGCGTCTGGCCCTCAGCGTCTGGCCCTCAGCGTCTGGCCCTCAGCGTCTGGCCCTCAGCGTCTGGCCCTCAGCGTCTGGCCCTCAGCGTCTGGCCCTCAGCGTCTGGCCCTCAGCGTCTGGCCCTCAGCGTCTGGCCCTCAGCGTCTGGCCCTCAGCGTCTGGCCCTCAGCGTCTGGCCCTCAGCGTCTGGCCCTCAGCGTCTGGCCCTCAGCTCCGGCCATCAGCGTGTTTCGCTCCAGCTCCCCCTCAGCTCCGGCCCTCAGCTCCGGCCGTCTACCCGTCCGCCTCACCAACCTCTTTTCCCTCACCACATGTACCTTCTTCGCTTATGGCCTCTCTCCCTTCCCCCCTCCCTCCCTCCCTCCCTCCCTCCCTCCCTCCTCCCTCCCTCCCTCCCTCCCTCCCTCCCTCCCTCCCTCCCTCCCTCCCTCTCCCTCCCTCCCTCCCTACCTCCCTCCTCCCTCCCTCCCTCCCTTCCCTCACTCACTCACTCCCTCCCCAACAGCACGTTTCAAGGTGGCTCCCCACTCAGCCCTGGCCCTCTGCCCCTCCAACTCTCCAGCCTCACTGCCCTCACGTACATGTAAGCCCTTGGCGCCTTTGGTGCACTCACATGCATGTGATTGATCCATGCATTCTTTGGTGCTCTCACACGGAATCACTTAGACTTGGCCCCAACCCCAACTCACCCATATGTAAGCCCTTGTAGACGCGTGCACGTGTGTGTGCATGTGTGCGTGCATGTGTGCGTGCATGTGTGCGTGCATGTGTGCGTGCATGAGTGCGTGCATGTGTGCGTCCATGTGTGCGTGCATGTGTGCGTCCATGTGTGCGTGCATGTGTGCGTGCATGTGTGCGTGCATGTGTGCGTCCATGTGTGTGTGCATGTGTGTGTGCATGTGTGTGCATGTGTGCGTGCATGTGTGCGTGCTTGTGTGTGTGCATGTGTGCGTGCATGTGTGCGTGCATGTGTGTGTGCATGTGTGCGTGCATGTGTGCGTCCATGTGTGTGTGCATGTGTGTGTTCATGTGTGTGTGCATGTGTGCGTGCATGTGTGTGTGCATGTGTGCGTGCATGTGTGTGTGCATGTGTGCGTGCATGTGTGTGTGCATGTGTGCGTGCATGTGTGTGCGCATGTGTGCGTGTACGCGTGCGTGCATGTGTGCGTGCGTGTGTGTGTTTATGTGTCCATGCACGCATGCTTGTATGCATGTGTGCGTGCATGTGTGCACGCGTGTGTGCATGTGTGCGTGCATGTGTGTGTTTATGTGTGCACGCATGCGTGCATGTGTGCGTGCACGCGTGCGTGCATGTGTGTGTTTTATGTGTGCATGCATGCGTGCGTGTATGCATGTGTGCGTGCGTGTATGCATGTGTGCGTGCATGTGTGCATGCATGTGTGAGTGCGTGAGTGTGCGCATGTGTGCATGCATGTGTGCTACAACATTCTTCCGTATCACATCCAGCTCCAAAGCTAGGAGAAGTGCTTTATGTTATCCCCCCCCCCCCCCCCCCTTTTCCCCCCTCTCCCCACCCCACTCCCCCCTCAAGTCCTTACCCCATACACCCCACTCTCTCCCTTTCTCCTCCCCTCCCCATCTTCTCCCATGCACAGCTCAAGTCCTTTACGTTCTTCTACCCACAACCCCCACTCCTCCCCCCACTCCTCCCCCCCTTTTTCCCCCCACTCCTCCCCCACTCCTCCCCCCACTCCTCCCCCCACTCCTCCCCCACTCCTCCCCCACTCCCCCCCCACTCCTCCCCCCACTCCTCCTGCACTCTTCCCCCCACTCTTCCCTTGCAGCACCCTCTGCTAGCGCGCATCCGCGCAGAGGGACCTTCATCCAGCACCTGTCTGCCGTCACCAGCTACTTTTGAGGCGCCTCAAAACCAGACCCACCCCCCACTCTTCCCCCCTCTTCCCTTGCAGCACCCTCCGCCGAAAACGTGTCCATGCAGAGCTGAAGGCCTTTACGCTCTTCTCCCCACCCCCACACCCCCCCACCCCCCCAACCTCCCACCCCCACCCCCCCCCCTTTACATCCCCCCACCCCCACTTCCCTTGCAGCATGCTCCGTCAACTGCGTATCCATGCAGAGCTCAAGGCCTTTACCCAGCACCTGTCTGCCGTCTCCGGCCTGCAGCGCTTGTAAGTGAATCTCTTATTGACGCGACTCAAACCCGGCACTTGTCTTCCGTCACCAATCTGCAGCACCTGTTAGCGGACATCTTATAAACACGTCACTAGGTGGAGATATACGTTTCCCTCCCCACCCCTTCCCCCTCCCCCCTCCCCCCCCTCTTGCAGCTACATGTTGGCTTTGAGGCGCCTCAAAGCTACATGTTGGCCTGCAACCGTATTGTACCCTATGGAACCATCCTGCTGCGCTCCTCACCATGCATTTGAAACCCCCCCTCTCCGCTCCCCCCCACACACACCCCTTCCTCCTCACC